CTGTTCGGTCGTTCGTATCCAGCCTCAATCACTCGCTCAAGCCCAGCTTCTCATACGAGGAAGGCGCCAGAAAGCATATCTGCACACATGAGGACCTCCGTTTCGAATGAGATTAAGGCTGGTGGGGGTGTCGGCATCTCGCTCGAGGCGTGCTGCCACGTGCACTGGCGCAACCAGCGCCCTCTTCGCGCGTCGTGCCCGTGTCGCACTCGACGGGCCTGGACCGCGCGGCACACTCGGCACATCATGCGCGCGAGGCACATCTGGCGCACCAGGCGCACCTGGCGTTCTTTGGCACTTGAATTAAGTCGGGCCTGTTCCTCTACAGGAGGGAAATTCAAAAAATAGTCAAACAATAGCCTGGGGACCATTTTTGGAATATTTTTGACAATTTTGGAGCCTTTTTGGGGTATTTTTCATTTTTCGTCGAAAATCCCCCTGTAGGGGGACTCGCCCGACTTAACACTTGAAGCGCCTTGAATCATAAACAGCTGCATGAACATAAACTTTTGAGCGCTCCGCGTGGATTTCTTGGATCTGCGGTGGGCTCCCCCGGGCGGCGCCGCTGGCGCCGCCCCTGGCGCGCGGGGTCCAGCCTCGTGTCCCCGGCGCAGGTTGGGGAATAGTTCAACCTGCCTCCTGAGCGAGTCGGAGGCTGCGTCGGGCACTTCACTGGAACTCTAACACGCTCCAAGGTGCCGACGCCCCGGTGGCGGATCTCGTTCCTTCGTCTAAAGCCGAAGCATATCAGCATTTCTCTTCCCCCCTCTTCTTTTCCCTCTTCCTCTCTGTGTGCACTGGGACTCAGCGTGGGCATTTTTTTTTCGTTTTGGCTGCGATCGTCTCTGCCTCGCGTGCCATCGGGAGTGGAACAGCGAAGCCCCGAACCGTGCTCCGGAATCCAGTAGATATCGTTTCCCGCGGCAAGGTGAAGCACCGCCCTTCCCGCGTGAGTACGTAATCAGACTGATGTGTCTCAGGAGAGGAAATAACACACAGACACAATGAATCGTCGATTCCCCGGAAAATATGGGAAACTATTGGAAGTGGGGGGGAGACGAAAACCTCAAAGTATAGGAAAATATGGGGAACATTTTTCTTTGTGTGTATTTATTTGTGTGTCCTGGGACCCCTTCAGTGTCCACGGTGCCCCGCTCGACCGCATCTCTTGCCTCTGGAGGGCAAGGTCTACGCCTCGAGTTCTTTCCCTGGGCAGAAGAGCGCGCACCTGGATCCGCAGAGCGCGTGGGTTTCGTGGCGCTCCCGTCGACCCCGCCCGACAGCACCCTCGGGAAGGGGGGGGAGGCACGGATGAGGACGGGCCGGGAGGCGGGAGGCGGAGGAGGGCGGGATGGGGGAGAGGACGCGGTCTCCGTCGGGAGGCCGGCGGAGGAGGCGGTGGGGGGCCTCTCGACCCGTTGTGAGGGGTGCCGCCTCGTTTGCCCTCGCCGCCGCGACGAGCCGCCGCACGCGCGGCGCGTCCTGCGGCGCCCGCGGCTCGTCGTGCTCCCTTCCCGTCCTGCGGCCCCTGCGGCTCGAGGGCCGGAGGGTCGTTATTTTAGTCGGGTCGGCTGCCCGTGCCGGTCGCGCGGCGCCATGCACAACGACGAGACACTCTGGCACGTGCTCAATCACGACTACTGCTCGTACAAGGTTGCTCGGCAGCAGATTGTGGGAGCCTGGTGTGCCCTCCTGAGTCCGTCTTTAGAGCGTCGACTGGCGTCGATCGGCGCCCGGGAGTCGACGACATAGCGCCGATTTGGCATCGGTTAGCGTCGATCAGCGTCGATTTAGCGTCGGTTAGCGTCGATTTAGCGGCGATTCGCAATAGCCGACACGATGGTATGGGAGGCTCCCATGAGTTGCCACCGAACAAGGTAAAGTTGGGACAGGCCAACATCAAGCAGAACTTCTGCAGGAACCCCCACAATGTGACGGGCCTGTGCAACAAGGTGTCGTGCCCGCTGGCAAACAGTCAGTACGCCACCGTCATGGAGGAGGAGGGCGTCAGCTACCTGTACATGAAGACAGTGGAGCGTGCACACTCGCCGAAGAACCTGTGGGAGAAGGTTAAGCTGTCCAGAAACTACCTGCAGGCGCTCGAGCAGATAAGCAAGCACCTCGAGTACTGGCCCGACCATATGATTAACCGCTGCAAGCAGCGGCTGACCAAGATCCGGCAGATGCTGATCAGAATGCGGAAGCTCTCTCTGCGCGAGGGGCCAAGACTTGTGCCGATCAAGAAGAAGACGGAGAGAAGAGAAAAGGTCCGCGAAGAGAAGGCCGAGGCCGCGGCGAAGGTCGACCTGGCGATAGAGAAGGAACTTCTGGAGAGGCTGAAGCAGGGCACATACGGGGATATCTACAACTTCCCCCAGAAACGGTTTGATAGCGTCATGGACAAGCAGAAACAGAAGGAGGAGGAAGAGGAGCTCGAGGACGAGTCCGAGACGGAGTTCGTGGAGGACCTGGGCGAGGACGACGACGACCTAGACGGAGAGGAGGAGGAGGAGGACGAGCAGGTGGAGCAGGTGGAGCTAGAAGACCTGGAGGCGGACGGGGACCTCCTTCGCGATCTGGAGGACCTGGGCGACGATATTCGGGGGATGCCCCCGAAGAAGAAGAGGCGCGACAACGCGCCTCGCGTGGAGCTGGAGTACGAGAACGAGATGGAGACCAGGCTCCTGGGAACGCAGAACCGCGGCCGCAGCAAGCTGCCCGCTCCTGCTCCGCTCGCTCGGCCTCTCCCTCCCGCTCCCGCTTGTGCTCTGGAGGAGGGGGAGGAGGGGCCGGCCCCGCCTGCTCGCCCTCGCCCCCCTCCGCCGTGTCCTGGTCTGGCTGCTGCTTCCCCCTGCAGGGGGGGAGGGCCCGCTTGATCGAACCTGCCCCACGGGGTCCGTTGCGATCCGACCGGTCCGCTTCGACGTCGACTCTGCCCGGCTCGATCCGATGCGGCTCCGGTGTGCCGACGATCCGATGCGGCCGGATGCTCGCATGGCCTCGCTATGCGTGCTGGCGCGGCCGGTTCGACTCGATGCCGACTCCGCGTCGATGCGGCCCGAGTCGGCTCACATTTCGATCCGACCCGATTTTCCGATGGATGCCGGCTGATCCTGCCCCATCCCCGGAGACGTTTCAGGGGCAACCCCCTCCCCGGAATGGAAGGAGGGGTTGCAAGAAAGGACTTCCTGAGCCACCCACACCGGAGGCCAGACCTCCGACGTTGTGCTTGTTTTTGTTTTTTGCAGCGTGGAGCCCCGGAGGCCTGAGCCTCGTGCCTGGGACCGGCGTCTTATCCCGAGCCGTCTTCTTGGCATCGCTCGGATGTGTGCATTCTTCTCGGCAAGGACCATCGAGGACCACTTTGGGTCCTCCTGCGAACGACAATGCACGCGCGAGGCCGAAACTTGCACGGGGAATGGACGTCCGAGCGATGGCGAGTCTTCGACGGCCTCGAAAACTGGTGAGGGCCCCCCGAGGCCCGAAAAAGAAAAGCGGGCAACTTTTCGTCGTGCTTTTTATCTTCTCGCAGCGCCAGGGGGGCTGGGGCTCGGGGATGAAACGTCGACTCCCGAGCCTGTCCCCGGGTGCGCTTCGTTCAGGCTCCCGATGGGGAGCCTAGCTATGGCGACGAGCCTCCCAGAGGCCCACAAGGGGGCGAACAGCGCCCACAGACCTCGACCCTCCGGGGTTCATCGCGAGTCCTCCGATGCGATTGGGTTGGAGTTCGGTGGCCTCCGATTCCGATTCGGTTCCACTTGGGATTCCGATCTGGATTCCGAGGAGGAGGAGGAGGAAGAAGAGGAGGAGTAGGAGGAGGAGGAGGAGGAGGAGGAGTAGGAGGAGTTGGAGCAGGAGGAGGAGCAGGAGGAGGAGGAGGAGGAGGAGGAGGAGGAGGAGGCCTCACTGGCCTGCCGATATTTCCGCCGATCCGGCTCCTCCCCACTTGGCTGTCGACGCCCGCCGCCGATCCGACGCCCCTTCGATCGCCGGCCCGATTCGTCGATTCGGCCCTGGGCTCTCCTGCCCTCGAGGCTCGATCCTCGATCCTCAACCTGGACTCTCTTCGATCCTTTCCTTCGGTCGGGCGCGTCCTTCTACAGGCGGATTTTGGACGAAGAACAACAAATCGTCAGAACATAATGGAGAGATGCTCAGAAGTACCCCCAAAATCGTGCCCAGACTATTTCTGACTGTTTTTGAATCTTCCTCCTCTACAGGGACACGCCCGACTGAACCCTTTCTTTGTGTTCCTTCAGGTGACCCGCCGTGGCCCTCGGCCCGCGAGCGTGACCGCTGTAAGCCTCGCGCGGCTGGGCCTCGCCAGCGCTGGGGGCGCCGGTGGGCGGCTCCGAGCGCCCCTCCCTGGCGCACTGTCCCGTCCTCGGAGAGGAGGGAGGATGGATGGATGGATGGAGGGAGGGAGGGAGGGAGGGAGGGAGGGGGAGGGGGAGGGGGAGGGGGAGGGGGGAGGGGAGGCGGAGGGGGAGGGGAGGCGGAGGAGGAGAAGAGGAGGGAGGAGGAGGAGGAGGAGGAGGAGGAGGAGGAGAGGGGGGGAGGTGGAGGCGGAGGCGGAGAGGAGGAGGAGGAGGAGGAGGAGGAGGAGGAAGGAGGGAGGAGGAGGAGGAGGAGGAGGAGGAGGAGGAGGTGAATGAGGAGGAGGTGGAGGTGGAGGCGGAGGCGGAGGCGGAGGAGGAGGAGGAGGAGGAGGACCAGTGGAAACCCAAGAGTCATCAACGATGTTGGAATTAACCCTCCCTCCAAGCTCCCTCTTCATAGGCCCCTACAACGGTTCATTTCCATTGATGGAACTGCCTCGTTGGAAGACAACAGTTTGAAGATCGTGAAGCGTGCCGAAGCATTGTTCTTGGGATTTCAACGCCACGTATTAACCTGACTGCTGCGTCTTGACGATTCAGAATCGTGCCATAACTTCATTTTTGGACTCCAACACAGCGAATTAACATAACTGTTGCGCCCGCCTAATCCAGAATCCTTCTCAAACGCAATTTCTGGTACGTTGATCATGGGAATCCGTGAAACTCTTGCAAATTTGATAAAACTAAATGTGCGCGGCGCTGCGGCGAGAACCACATTTTGAAAAGGAACCGCCCTCAATCTGTGAATCTCTTGCAAATTTAATAGAACTAATGTGCGCGGCGCCAAGGCGAGAGCCACATTTTGAAAAGGAACCGGCCTCAGTCCGTGAAGCTCTTGCCAATTAAAAAACGAATGTGCGTGGCGCTAAGGCGAGAGCCACATTTTGAAAAGGAACCGGCCTCAATCCGTGAAGCTCTTGCCAATTAAAAAACGGATGTGCGCGGCGCGAAGGCGAGAGCCACATTTGGAAAACGACTCTCCCTCAATCAGCGAAGCTCTTACACATTGTTATAACGAGTGTGCGCGGCGCTAAGGCGAGAGCCACATTTTGAAAAGCATCCGGCCTCAATCCGTGAAGCTCTTGCTAGTTTTTAGAACGAATGTGCGTGGCTCTAAGGCGAGAGCCACATTTTGAAAATGACCCGCCCTCCATCTGTGAAGCTGTTGTCACTTTTTAAGCTCCAGGGTCATAAATGGTGAGGAATTCTCAGGCGAAACGCCCGGCCCAACCTAAAAACTGGCCTCGGGGTGCGACAGGGAGGAGTTACCTATAAGGAGAAGGATTGGAGGAGGAGGAGGAGGAGCAGGAGGAGGAAGAGCTGGAGGAGGAGGAGGAGGACGAGGAGGAGGAGGAGGAGGTGGAGGAGGAACAGGAGGAGGAGGAGGAGGAGGAGGAGGAGGAGGAGGAGGAGGAGGAGGAGGAGGAGAAGGAGGAGGAGGAGGAGGAGGAGGAGGAGGAGGAGGAGGAGGAGAAGGAGAAGGATTAGGAAGAGAAGGAGGAGGAGCGAGCAGGCTCTGCGCCGCTTCTCTCAAGAGGGTTGGCGACCGGAGAGACCAGCCGGTCCGCCGGAGGTCATGCCGAGGGTCCAGCCGGCCCGATCCGGCCTTCGAGGTTCGAGGTTTGTAGGCGCTCTGCGCCCTTTTCGGGCCTCTCGGGGGCCTCCCCTGGGCCCTGGCAGCGATAGGGCCGTTTTTTTGACCTGTTCCGTTTTGCCGTTTTTTGCCGATTCCGACGCCGTTTTCTTACCCGTTCCGTCGCCGTCTTTTTGCCTGTTCCGGGTCCGGCTCCAATCCTGGAGCCGTTTTATTGTCTTTTCCCGTCGCCGTTTTTTTGCCGCTTCCGTTTTCAAGAAACATTTTTTCGGAAACGGAGAAAGAACGGCCCTGCCGTTTCCGGGGCCCACCAACCTGTTGCCGCGCTGGAGTCCCTTCGAGATTCTGGTCGGAGCGCACCTTGGGACAGGTCCAGGCGTCAGTTGTTGATCCCCGAGCCCAGACCCTCTGGCGTTGCGACCACATCAGGGGGGCTTCTCCAGGGTATTTTTCTGGTTCCTGGAAGCGCTTGCCAGGTCTTGGATCCGTCAAAGACGGATCGGGATGAGGAACACATCCCAGATAAGCGGGTGGTCCAGACTTGCCAGGGTCCACGGTGCGAACAAATGAGGGCTTCTGGGGTCTTTGGAGGATGATTGAGTAGGAGGATGGAAAGGAGGAGGAGGAGGAGGAGGAGGAGGAGGAGGAGGAGGAGGAGGAGGAGGACAACGACGGAGGCCTCTTTTCACCTTGTCCATACACTTCAGCGCGCCTGACGCGGCGCGGCCTTGCATTGTGGTGGGCGGCGACGGGAGCTATACAAAGCAGCTCCGTCGGAACCTGCGTTCAAGAGACGTGGATCAGCCACCCAAGAGAAATGATCTTCTGCTCCCTCTCCCTCCCAGCACTGCGGAATACAAGGACAGAGCGAGGGAGAGGATGGCGAGGGTAAGGGAGTATTGAGTTTCAAAGCAGGAGGGAGGGAGGGCGGAGGGGGGCGGAGCACGGGGAGGGGGGGGTGGCGGGTGGACGGTTGGAGTGATGACTGGGAGGAGGACGTGCGTCACGAGCTGGCTGTGCAGCGCCATCAGGGCAGCAGCCGCAGGAACAGCAGCATCAGCAGCTGCCCGGCAGTTCTACACCACCCTTGCTCGCGCGCGCGCTGCTGACGTCTCGCGCACACAGCTCGAGCCATCAGCGCGAACGCAGCATCACGCCGCAGCACCACACCGAGCAGCGCGAGCGCAGCGTCGAGCACACGCACTCGAGCTGGGCGGTGCACGGCAGTGCGAGAGAGACGGCAACGGGGGCGGACGGCTGGGCGCCAACAGATCTCGAGCGGAGGGGCCGGGCGCCGCGCCCGGGCGAGCAGCCAGGGCGAGGGGGGCACGCACTTCGCCGGACCGTAGGGGGCCAGGAGCCTCGAGCGCCGCTGCCAGGCCAGGCCGCGCGAGCGCGGGAGGCAGGGGGCGGCGCACGAAACGAAGCGCACGCACGCGCACGCGCGCGCCCTCAGCCGCGCTTCCAAACGTGAGCGGGGAAACACTTTTTTGATCCGCGGGTCGAGAGCGCACCTCTTCCGGTCGAAGCTAAGCGGGCCGCGCACAGCTTTAATTAACAAGGGGGGGGGCAGAAGGAGGGAGCGGGGAAACACACGAGCCGCCAGTGGACGCCCGCGCCCGCGCCCGCGCGCGAGGGCCGCACTCTAGGCCGCTCGAAACTCGCCCGCCACCGCCACAGTGGAACGCCTTTTGGGCCGCCCGCGCGACATTGCAACCGCAGCTGCCCCCGCAATCGCACCGCCAACCGTGGGGCGCCTTTTGGGCCGCCCGCGGGCGATCGCAACCGCTGTCACGCTCGCAGCCGCAACCGGGGAGCACGTTTGCGGCTGCCCACGGGCGCCCGCGCTCGCAGCGGCACTTGGGCCGCCAGTGGTTGACTGCCTCTGCAACAGTTGTTCCTAGTCCCGTCGCGAGGGCAGTTGGTTGAACTGCCCTCGCGACGGGACTAGGAACCATGGCGGGGGATTTCGTTTTGAACCGCCAGCTGGTGCACCCACGCCCGCCACACAACTGCATCCGCCGCGCAACCGCCGCCAGGGAGCCCACTATGGGCCGGCCGCGGGCGCTGGCAACGGCGCCCGCGCCCGCGTCCGCACCCGCGACTGGGGAGGGCATGTCGGGCCGCCCGCAGGTGCCCGCGCCCGCAAGTGCACTCGCAGCCGCGACCGCCACCTGGCAGCGCCTGCTGGGCAGCCCGCGCGCGATTGCCACGCAGCTGCGTTCGCGCGCCCGCAGTGGCGCCCGCAGCTGCCGCCGGGGAGCGCCTGCCCCGCTGGGTGACCGCGCCCGCAGCCGCGCCCGCGCTCGCCACCGAGGAGCACGTGTGGTGCCGCCCACGGGCGGCCGCCACCGCAACTGCACCCACGCCCGTGCCCGCGGCCAGGGGAAGAGATCTGGGCCGCCCGCAGGTGGTTCCACCCTCGGCCGCAGTCGCAACCGAGACGCGGGAGCGCAGGTCGGGTCGCCCGCGGGCGCCAGCACCCGCGTCGGCATCCTCACCCGCAGCCGCACCCGCAGCCGCACCCTGCGCACTTCTTGTGCAGCATTTCGAGCAATATTTTGTACGCTGGATCGAGACGTCATGGTAGCCATCATCGTCACCGTCGGCATAATCATCATCAACAGCAGCATTATCATCACCATCATCACCATCATCATCATCATCATCAGCAGCAGCAGCAGCAGCAGAAGCAGCATCAGCATCACCGTCGTCATCATCATCACCATCATTATTATTATTATCACTATTATTACGACTACTATTATTATTATTATTATTATTATTATTATTATTATTTTTTATTTATTTATTATTATTAGTATTATTATTATTAGTATTATCATTATTATTATTATCATTATTAGTATTAGTATTACTATTAGTTTCATTATTATTATTATTACTATTATTCGTATTAGTATTATTATTAGGGTGATTATTATTATTATTATTAGTTTTATTTTTATTGTCATCGTCGTCGCCATCATCATCAGCATCATAATCAGTATCGTTATCATCATCAGCATCACCATCATCATCACCGTCATCATCATCATTATCATCATCATCATCATCATCATCATCACCATCACCATCACCATCACCATCACCATCACCATCACCATCACCATCACCATCACCATCACCATCACCATCACCATCACCATCACCATCACCATCACCATCACCATCACCATCACCATCACCATCACCATCACCATCACCATCACCATCAGCACCATCATCACCATCATCACTATCATCACCATCATCACCATCATCAGCATCAGCATCAGCATCAGCACCAGCATCAGCATCAGCATCAGCACCAGCATCAACATCAGCATCAGCATCAGCATCAGCATCAACATCAGCATCAGCACCACCATTACCATCAGCATCACCATCATCGTCACCGTCGACCACATCCGTACTGACATCATCCCTATAGTGGCCTTTAAAGACGCTATCGCCACCATCACTTAACTTCTCACTACTGAATCTTTACTGCTCCTCATTGCCAGTCGTGGCCCTGGTTGCTCCGCCAGGAAGCTGTAGCTGGGAATTCCCCATTGCATTGTGGTGATTTTGACTCCTTCCCAGGACCCCCTATTTCAGCCCGGATTGTAATCGGAGGCCGAAGCGGGCTTCTGGAGGCCAGAACCGCGGAATGACCGCCGGGACTGAACAAATCGCAACGTCAAAGGTCTCCAGAGGAGGTCTCTGGGCGTTCCGATGGTCTTTGGTCATGTTGGGAGGCCCCCGGGGGGTCTCCCGGAGGCCCCGGCGATGCCTCAGGAGCCTCCTGGCGGGGACCAGACCCTTGCTGGGACCAGACCCCAGCTAGGACCCCTCGGAGCCGAGTGCAGGCCGTGCGGAGGTCGTGTGGGATCCGCGCGGGCGGAGCCGAGGAACCCGAGGGCAGCAGAGGCCGCGGGAGACTCCGCCCGCCGCCGCCGCCGCAGGTCGACGGCGCCGACACGGAGGCCGAGAAGCGGCCCCGGGAGCAGGGCGCGGCCGCGCCGCGCGGGGCTCGGCGCCCGCGGCGGGGGGGCGCAGATCCGCTTCTGGTGCTCGCCGTCGGATGCTCGATCGACAGGCCCAGGCGCCGGCGAGGACCCAGGCCTGCGACGGACTTTAGTTGTTGTTGTTGTTGTTGTTGTTGTTGTTGTTGTTGTTGTTGTTGTAGAAATTCCGGGGGCTTCAGTACAACATCGTTTGACCCACCCCTGTCCCCATCCCCACCCCTAGTTATCCAGACCCCCACCATTTCAGCACCCCACCTAGGGATACCCCCCCCCGAAACCCTCAGGAAGCAGTCTAGATCTCCATCTTGGGGGGTAATATCGGCCAATGGGGCCCAGGCCACGCCGTTGGGGATAGGGGTCGGATAAGCGATGCTCAGCGCTGTCCCCCAATCTCGGCCTCGGGAGGCAGCTCTCGGGTCCCTGGGCCAGCAAAAATTGATCCACCATGGAGCGCTGTCCCTGCGGATGGGGTCGGGGGCCCTGGGCCGTGGGTTGAAAGCGCAACGCCGGATGTCTCGGGATGGAGGCTGTTGGGGAGTTTCATCCGAGGAGGAACAGGCACCGCTGCTGCTGCCCATGACTCGTTTTCCCCTTTCTGGGCCTCCTGGGAGGCCCTCGTCACCACGGCTGGATTCGCCCCGAAGTTCTGGTCAGAACGCACCCCAGGAATGGTCCTGGGAGTAGCGGTATCGGTACTTTGTTAGTGTGAATTTATTGGTTTTAGGGTTTTAACACATGGTCGCAGCCACGCAGAGGGCGTGCGTAGCGACGCCCCAAATGCTCGGTCTCCAGCACTTCTACGTGGCGGCGCCCCCGCAGGCACGCAGAGGGCACGCGTGGCGACGGGGGCGTCGCCACGCAGAGCTTCTAAAGACCAAACATTTTGAAAACCAATTGTTCCCACTACTAAAGTACCCGTTGGTTTCCGAATTCCTGGATCTCCGGGAGGCCCCTCGTCGCCACGGCAGGATTCCCCGTACCGGTTGCAACGCACCGCGGGAGAGCTCTAATCGGGCGTCGATTTTTGACCCCCGAGCCCGGCCTTCCGTCTCTGACAGCTGAGGACGTTGTGGTTTTCCTTCGCATCTTCAGTGGTGTTCTTCTTCTCTCGTTTTCTCTGGACACTCCGCGCAGTCCTCACACCTCACCCCACACAATTTCCTTTCTTCGCTCTCACATAGCCGTCGTGATCAGTCGTCTATTTCTTTCATTACCACCATCATCATTTCCACGTCAACGTAGTGATTTTCACTTGGAAGTCGCCTGCACTCCTATTGAGGAAGTCTTGAGCGGGGGCCTTGTCTGTGACTGAGTTGAGGACGTCTCAGGCAGGAACCCCATCCCTACTGGGCCCCCATTTCATGTTGCTAATCCGAGGCGGCCATCGGCAAACCCTATACAATCAAACGTTTTGTGATCATCGAGCCGCCAGAATTCCATTCCCAGTCCTGGCTGACTCAGTGGGAGGAAGTCTCAGGCGGTAGCCCCTTTTTCATTTCATGTTACTTATCCGAGGCGGCGCAATCCAGAGCACAGGTTTTGTGATCATCGAGTGTCTAGAGCTTCATTTTTAGCTTTGACTGTGAATGAGCTCGGAAGGACTCTCAGGCGGGAGCTATCTCTTTATGTGCCCTCCACTCCATGCTATCAATACAAGGCGGCCATCGGCAAACCATGCAGGAACACAGGATCAAATCGCCAGAGCTCCATTCCCACCGCGGAGTTCGAGTGTCTGGAGCCAACGGCAGCCCCCTTCGTGCCCCTCGTGTTCTGAGACTGCAGTTCCAGGCCGATGTAGAGAGTCCGACTCTCGCAGGTCCCTCCGGCCTCGCAGGGCGCACATGCCCCGCAGGTCGCACAGATCTCGCACACCTCACAGGTAGCACGGGCCGTACACGTCCCGCAGACATCACGAGCCCCATGCGCCCCACTGGTGGCACTGGCCCCACAGGTTGCACAAGTCCCACACGTTCCACAGGCCCCAGTTTCACACAGGTCGTACGGGTCCCAGATGCCCCAGGTCCCGCACATCCCACAGGCCGGACCGGCCGCACAGGCCGCACGGGCATCCTGGGATCTTGCGACGCTGTATCCGGGCATGCCTGGCATCCTGGCATCCTGGGATCTTGCCGCGCTGGCCTCCTGGCCTCCTGGCCGCCTGGTATCCTGACACCCAGGCATTACTGCATCTCCGACATCGTGGCATCCTGGCATCTTGGTGTCCTGGCATCCTGGCATCCTGGCGTCCTTGCATCCTGGCATCCTGGCATCCTAGTACAATCTCTATTAGCAGTCGTAGATGGTCACGCACATGTGCACCAAGACGAGGGTCCTGCCGTCGGAGTTTTTCTTGTTTACTGTCGTTGTCTCCTTCGTCGTTGGGAGGTCGTCTCCTCGCTCGGGAGCCATCAACGGATCCATGATGAACAGCCGGCTCTTGGGAGGGGGTGAGTCGGAGTATGAGGCCGAGTAGGGAAGAGGGGGACGTGAGTGAGTCTGAGTGTGGGTGAGTCTGAGTGCGAGTGGGCCTGCGTATGAGCGAGTGTGAGTATGGCTGAGTCTGAGTGTGAGTGAGTCTGAGTATGAGTGAGTCTGAGTGCGGAAGAGGAGGAGTGGGGTGGAGAATATTTGGTGGTCACGTGTTGAGCGGATCACGACGTCCGGGGGCCTGGGGACGAACTGGAATCCGGGAGGCTTGCTCTGCTCCCCCCGAACGCAGCCTGCCGCTGCTCCTCGTGCCGACCACGACATCTCACTCCCTCCCGTCGTCGTCCCCCCCCTTCGCCCTCTCGGGGGTGGGCCTGGGAGGAGGCCGGACAGGCCTGATCTCCTCCCTCATGCTTTAGTCATGCGACTGTTCTCCAAAGCCGTTCATTCGTTGTTGTTGTTGCTGCTGCTGCTGCTGTTGTTGTTGTTGCTGTTGCTGTTGTTGTTGTTGTTGTTGTTGTTGTTGTTGTTGTTGAACATTATTAATTCTAAAGAATAATTATTGTTGGGACCCCTGGTGCACGGCCCCCCTGCGCCGCCTAGGCCGCAGCTACATTTTCATCATTTTCGTGAGGAAGCCTCAGGTAATTCGATGTGATCAAGATCCGGTTGTTTTGTTGTAATCCGTTTCCCTTGCAAAAAACACTATAAAATGACATTTCTTGTTCTAATATAATCAAATTTCAAGAATCCCTTGCAAAAAATAAGGTAAAGTGGACATTCGCGCGCGCAAGACGAAATCCTTCCAAAACCTTAGTGTTCGGAGCGATTTTAACATAAAAACATCAAAAAACCAATGGTTTTTCAACAAAAAAATGTCAAAATCTCATCCCGCGCGCTCTTGCGGATTCGTAGGAAACCCAACACTTTTTAAACATTTCTGTCAAACGGGCTTTTGCGAGCAACTTTTTCGAACTTCTGCAACAACGGTTGCGCACCTGCCAGGGCCATCATCCCTGTCAAATAATACCATGCGGGACACATTCGTTTTTTCTTCGCGCGCGCACGCCGTCGTCGTCGGCCGCGGGGCCCTGAATAGTAGCCACGGTCGTCCGCATGCCACGAAGTGAAGTGTCCGAACGTCATAGGGCGGGAAGCTGGGTGTGGGTGGTGGCGAAGAGTCGTTTGGAAATTTGGTAGAGCTTGAACCGGCCCCCCCACAAAGTGGGGGTATTGCCCGCCTCCTATGAAAACCCTGGCACTGGTGAGAACGGAGTGTCCCCGTGCTAGTAATTGTTGTTGTTGTTGTTGTTGTTGTTGTTGTTGTTGTTGTTGTTGTTGTTGAACATTATTTATTCTAAAGAATAATTATTGTTGGGCCCCCTGGTGCGCGCCCCCCCTGCGCCGCCTAGGCCGCAGCTACATTTTCATCATTTTCGTGAGGAAGCCTCAGAAAAGAGGGTGTGTACAGGATCCGGTTGTTTTGTTGTAATCCGCTTTCCCTTGCAAAAAACAATAGAAAATGACATTTCTTGTTCTAATATAATCAAACTTCAAGAATCCCTTGCAAAAAATAAGGTAAAGTGGACATTCGCGCGCGCAAGACGAAATCCTTCCAAAACCTTAGTGTTCGCAGCGATTTTAACATAAAAACATCAAAAACCAATGGTTTTTCAACAACAAATTGTCAAAATCTCATCCCGCGCGCTCTTGCGGATTCGTAGGAAACCCAACACTTTTTAAACATTTCTGTCAAACGGGCTTTTGCGAGCAACTTTTTCGAACTTCTGCGACAACGGTTGCGCACCTGCCAGGGCCATCATCCCTGTCAAATAATACCATGCGGGACACATTCGTTTTTTCTTCGCGCGCGCACGCCGAAATCTCCAAAAACCATTGGGCTTCTTAAGAATTCTAGCACCGCGCATCATAAAATCACACGAATCGCACCGTAGGTCCTCGAAAAACACCTGCACGACTTTTCAAAATTTCTACCCGCGCGCGCTGTCCGAATCCTAAAAAACCAATGGTTTTCCAACATCCTGGACAAGCACAACCATCAGGACAACCATCGGGACAATCATCGGGACAACGATCGGGACAACCACAACCATCAGGACAACCATCGGGACAACCATCGAGACAACCATCGGGACAACCATATCCTCTCTCTCTTGTGTATTCCCACATCCCTCAGGAATTTGCCCTAAAGATGTGATCAACTATCTTGTGAGTACGTATCATGTGTATCATGTGTATCATGTACCATATGCATCATATGCAACAGATGTTCTGTGGAAGGCTTAACAACTTCTGTGGGTTAACAAGGCTTAACAACTTCTGTGGGTGTACGAACGTAGGCTTAACAACTTCTGTGGGTGTGTACTCCACGCCAGTGTAGTAGCCACGGTCGTCCGCAGGCCACGAAGTGAAGTGTCCGAACGTCATAGGGCGGGAAGCTGGGTGTGGGTGGTGGCGAAGAGTCGTGTGGATATTTGGTAGAGCTTGCACTGCCCCCCCACAAAGTGGGGGTATTGGCTGGCGTCGCATGAAAACCCTGGCACTGGTG